TTACTCGCGGAGTAGCTCGCGCAGAGTCTGACACGGGCTAGCTACAGTAGTAGATAGCATGCGGGAGTCAATAAACGCTGTTGTGACTTCTTGTGCCTCCAAGGTACACAGAGCAAGCGGACCCGGTCGAGGTAAGCCTGTGCTAATTTGCATATTGGCTTGTTCACTTGGTTTTCATGCCATAACTTCTGAACGCGGCACTTTTACAAAATTCGGCATTTTAAAAATGAAGCGGGTGTAGCGCTGAAGCCGTTGATGTCGCTATTTTACCTGTTTGTCGCGCGTGGTGACAGAAAACGTGGACGGACAGACAGACGGACAGACGGACAGAACAACTACTGTAACCCTCGCTGCGCATGCGCGCCGAGGGTTAATGACTAGCTAATGAACTGTTATTTTGAGACGTGACTAAAATAGATAATTGAAGACCAAAGTACAGTGGCTTTTGTTGAGCTACTGCTGTCATCCACACTACCACAACCGCCTCTTCCAGTGTTGTAAAAGATGGTGGAGCCAGTGGTACACCTCCCAGTGAAGACTTCTTCTACACCTAGTGGGATCATCCTATAAAAAAAGGAGACAGTTTTTCACATTAGAATTAAGCTATAACCAATGGGCTAACCTATGTACTACCCCCAAATATGCAGCCAGACACTTATCTCATACCATACAGTTTCCTTGCAGTGTAAGCAGACTACATGTGAATACATATTCTAATTTCAAACCGGTCAGAATGCACTGTATCTCTCTAGTACTCACCATAATCACGGGTTCAATAGTGAAAGAAGAGATTGTGTCAGCGAACAATCCTTTTGGGAATCTATTGTTTGCCTCTATTATTGTGCAGTACTCACTAACTCTTATTATGGGAAGAATCATTCCCCATAATCGACCTACGACAGCAATCTTGCTTGCATAGAAGGAATGGCATCACCGGTTGACAGCACGATCACAGAAGTTGGCGGCAGAGCCCTGCTTGGTAGTACTGGCACCCCTTCTATTCAGGAAGACTCCAGCACTCAAACAACTATGGAAACTATTCAAGCAAGTGTTTCATCTGGAAATGCAAAGGAAGAGGCCCAAGTACCAAGGTACTCCAACCTTCATGCTCTTCTCGCCTCACTGAAGCTCCCAGATGGTCTGACAGAAAAATTTTCGACAGACAAAGAGCAACCTGTCAATTTTGTTGTGGTTGGGAAATATCAGGTTGGGAAGTCGGCTCTTATCAATTCCATGTTTTACAAAAAAGCCCAAGGCTTCAAAGAAATTGCAATAGAAGGAGATATGGAACCAACCACCGACGTGATAGAGTGTCACGGCCCTTGCGAAGTGCATGGCATCGAATTCCACATCTACGACACAATGGGTTTGCAGGATGGGAGGAGGAAAGACAAGGCTCACGTGAGTAAAATCAAAGAAATATTTACCACAGCACACCTGATAATTTACTGCACCAAGCTGCAGGAGCCCATTCGACCAGATGACGTCAGCACTCTCAAATCCCTCACAAAGGCATGCGGAAAATCATTTTGGAAGAATGCGGTGATTGCGCTCACATTCGCTAATGCAGCAGCTCCTAACGATCCAGAAAAACAAAATTGGTTTGGAGACCTGCTTCAAAGAAAAAAGGAAAAATTGCACAAGTGTTTCGTTGAGGATCTTGGCATCTCGGAAGAAGTGTGGGGTACACTTTCACAGCACACAGTGGCAGTGGGAAACCACAGTACGCCCTGATCTCCCAGCATCAAGGACTGGCGAGCCAGCTTCTGGTATGAATGTGTAGATGCGTGCAACGAAAAAGTCAAGGGTGCAGTTGCAGGTCTTGCTTGGAAGGAGGATGAATTTGTTAAGATGGTTGCATCGGTTGGCGCGGCGTCTGCGGGAACGGCAATAACTGCTGGAGGAGCAGCTCTCACGGTAGTTGGAGTGGTCACCTCGGCCACTGTTGCTGGCCTTCCAGTAGGGATTCCTGTTGCTGTCGTCGGTCTTGTAGCACTAGTTACTGGGACTGCCGCTGCTGTTCTGTCCAAACGTAAAGCAAGTCAATCATCTGAAAGTGAAGAAACATATAATTATGCCAGACTGTTTTCCATGTTTGGAACTTGAAAACAGTACTATACTCTATACTTTTGGTTTTTGTAAATTGGTCATTTTATTTCCTTGCGGAGGCTGCAAAATTGGTCTATTCGTTCATTCTTCCTCTAAGCACGGACAAAAGTGTGCAGGACACACACACACATATCATACGAAAATTCATTGAAGGAACATCGCTAGTATGACATAAGTGGTACCATCTGTTCATGGTTCTATGACAGGGATCCTACACCATCGGAGCTCTGTGTAGGAATTATGGTGTGCACAAAATCTCACATACATACAAATGCGGGTGAAGATATAGCTTTCCTATCACAAGAACACACTCACGGGCACTTCTCACTCTCACGTTACAATGAATGACATCACTTGTTAAAATAGTAGGGTAGGATAAATTTCCCTGTTCTCCATAGTACCCTCTACTTATGGAAAACGGCCAAAAAGGTGGTTCATTATGGGATATAATTTCGTCAGCACAACAGCAGAGCTCAGCCCTAAGATGGCAGAAGCGACAGAAAGTCTGGAATTGTCTGGGTTAAGAAGAGCGCGCACAATAAGTATTCGCGATTTACCACTGGAGACGCTACTCGATAAAAACCCGACGGGAGTCAGGAACTCAATGTCGTAATTGTGGGATGCTATCAGGTGGGAAAGTCAACTCTCGTAATGTGGCGACGAATCGCTTTTCGGGCGATGATTCTTCATTCGTAGCGACGAATTTCTACGGCTACCATTGTTTATCAAGCGACGAAGTGAACTAATCTTGGATTGACCAGTTAACCTTCAAACCCTCAGGCCAGGAATGACGTTATCAGCGTGCATGCGCATGCGTGTCTGTAGATGCGTACGTACGTAGTGTCGACGCGCGCGCGGGCCAGGAGCTGGCACCGCCCAGGAATCATGGCGTCGATAGTTGGGAATGGAGTCAGGAACTCTCTGTAGAAGATGCTGAACGGGAGAAATTTCGAGCCCACACTGCCAGCGACTTCATACAGTGGGTCCCGGTTCATACCCGTATACTGTGTATAATTATTGTGAACTAGATAGCGCACAATGCACTTTGTTTAGGAAGCTAATGAAGCTAGGATATGCTAAGCTGTGTAATCGGCTACTGGGAGCCAGGCTGGAGCAATGGAGAGTTTGCACCTCCAGTGGACACACAGCTGCGTGTGTCGCCATTGTAGAATGGCCTAATTACCGCATGCGCAATAATGACAATATTGCGGGGGGAAAAAAAAAAAAAAAAAACATAAATTGCTCAATTTTTTCTATGATAATAGGCGGGAGATGACATTATCCGTCTGTAGATATTCTATAACAAGCTTAAAGGTATTTTGTTGTAGAAAGAGTATGGGACAGCATAGGAAATGGTTTTGGATTCAAGGTTTGTATGATTATTAAAACGGGATATTCTACGGTATGCTATTAAGGCACATAAGTACACGAAAGGGCATATATCGCCGACTCACACGCACGCTATATAAACTACTGATCTAGGCCGGCCAGGACTCTCCGCGAGATACTAGCGGAAGAAACGCATAAGGCCAGCCAATCAATTACGGTTATGCGCTGCGCAGTTCACCCGAGGGTTTGCTTTAGTGCGTTTTCATTTGTGCTGCAACATTTGAAGAAGCCAGTAGTTGACAGAGCAAAATAGCATGTTACTAAATATTTTCAGCAGCCGAGGGGCTGGCCTCGCCCGCCGCTCAGTTCCGATGCTAGGAAGTCAGAGACACTGACCTGGCCTCGCTGCGCTTCGTGCGCCAGTACTGCAAAGCCACAGTACCACTCCATGGGGTGAAAGATGGAATGGAATACACATCCGTGTCATTGCGGCAGCCTCCCGCTTCATGCGTTGCAAAGGGAGTCTTCCCCTTCTTTGAAGAACATCGCGTTTTATGAAGCGACGACTTGCCAACTTGAAACGCCCCGTAACCAAGACGTCAGTTCGTACTGCACCAAGCTGCTCCTCAACACGGGCCGCATCCTCAAGTGACAACTGCGATAAATTTCTTACTTCATAATCATCCTCCATTAGGCTGCAGTGCCTCCAACTACACTTCACCTGTTCGCAATCCGCAAATTGATCTGTATGCGCAGTCACATCACAAAGGCTCCCCTGGCACGCAAACTGCGCATGCGTAGAGATTCGCTCGCTTGGGGCAGTAGCTACATGTGTAAGCCACGCAGTTGGTCGTGTGGAGGTTGTGGTTACTTCAAACAATGGAAGGTCTTCGGAACTACCCAGAACTGATGACGTTCATGGTAACGGACGTCCATCCGACGGGCAGAACAATCGGAGCTGGGTCCTACGGCAGCGTGGAGGAAGTTGCGATACCTGGAGCCATCTGCGCCGCAAAACGTACGCACCACGTTCTCGCTGTCGGTATTGGCGGCGATGAAGCGATGAACCATTTCGTTAGAGAATGTCGCCTGATGAGCACCCTCCGACACCCGAACATGGTTCAATTTCTTAGCCTTTGTACACTGCCCGACTCCCAGATGCCTGTAATTTTGATGGAGCGCCTCCTAATGAGCCTCCATGACCTGCTGGAGTCACGCAGGCCAAATCCATTCATCCCAATGAGTCTAAAATGTTCATACTTCACAACGTACGCCAGTGGCTTGGCCTACTTACACGAGCAATCACCACCCATCATTCACCGTGACCTGACCGCTAGAAATGTTCTCCTCAACTCGGGCATGGTTGCAAAGATAGCGGACCTGGGTACTGCTCGCATCTTGCCAAGTGAATGATGCAGCCCCAATGCCCAGAGCTCCGGAAATTTGGTGTATATGCCTACCCAGAGGCCTCTCTTCCCACAAAGTAGTGAGAGGGAAGAGATCAGACGACAAGCCCTGTATGATCGGCATTCATTGATATCTTCTCTTTTGGTGTTGTGTCCTCTCTTCGCACTCCTCACAACTCTGTTCCTTGTCATTTTGTTACCTTCTACTTACACGCCAGCGAATATGGTGAACTGAGAGCTGCGAACTGAACTACACGACGGAGAGGCTACATAGGACAACTGCCTTGAAATCATCGTTTCCTCCAACTGGTAGAGTAGCTGTCTTGATGTTTCCTCGTAGACACCCAACGTTCAACAAGTCCTGCAACCTGTTGGAACAGGTCAGAGCTGAAATGGGAGAGGAACTCAGTGACATGAACAAACTGAAATGATGCAGCTCTTTGCGTACATCCAGTAACCAGGTAACTTAAAAACAAACCTCATTTTGTGAAATATAACGTGAATGGAGATGGAACTACGGCAAGGAAGAGACACCATTGAAGACAAGAACACTGAGCTGCATGATCTTCAAACACAGTTCAAATCTTGTTTCACAACAGCTGCACAGCGAACGCAGTAATTGGGAAAAGAATCGAGAAATTGACATGCAGAGAGAGCAATGAAGAACTAACCACAGAACAGACAGACTGACTGGGCTAAGAGACAGGCAAATCCGGATGCCCGAAAGTTGATTGGTGAGAAAGAAAGAGAAATACGAGAGAAAGTCACTGTTTGTGAAAGTCTAGAGGCTGAGCTTATTCAAAAAGAGAAAGAAGTTCATGAACTGCAGAAGATTCTTAACGACAAGGACACGGAGATTACGGAGCTCCACAAGGCACAACACAAGGCACAGCAGGATAAAACTGATTTAGAAAATCCTACAGAAGCAGCAAACCTTGCCAGGAGAAAGTCGCTATTTAAACAAAAACGGTTTCACCCTGAAGGCAGAGAAGCCCTTACATCAGAGGATGCGGTGGATTATGGTGAGTTGAATTACCAGCATGCACTGAGACATTTCTGTATTCATATAAACAGCCAAAACAGCATTTTGTATATATCGTAATTCATATCTGAGGCACTTCCATACATGGCTTGAAACAGCATTTTGTGTTGTCCAATGCATATCATAGGTGAACTGAAGGAAAAAGAGGTGATGAATATGCTCTGTGGAATTGCCAACAAGTGGAGACAGCTTGGAACTCAGTTTGGACTCCAGCGTAATGAGCTAGAGGCGATAAAGCAAAATAATTCCTCACCTATGGACTGGCTGCTGGAAGTGATAGCTACGAATAAAGCTAGAACAACTGACTTTTGGTGGACAGACATTGTGAAAGCTTTACGTGCCATGAAGGAAAACAGGGTAGCTGACAGAATCTGCCGCAAGTACAACATCCCACAATCCCCATTTCACTCAGGTATGCATTTAATGTAGTATCTAAGCAATTAACATGTTGCACATGGTATGCCACTGTAGTGGTCTGCATAAATAATGAGGTTACAAAAAGTGTTTATTACTCATGTTTGGTATCTACATACAGAAGACCCAGCAGAGGTGGTTGTCTTGCAGCTGAAAGAAAGTAGTGAGTCCAAACTCAAAGGAAAGTTCTCTGCCCTCATCACCTTCGCCATCCGATTCCTGGAGAAGAAGGAAGAAAAATGCTTCGAAGATTTCAAGTCTTACGTGATTACCTTTTTTGAACTTGATTCAGCCGTCTTGATTGCCACTAGCTACCGCCAGGTTTTCAACCTCATTAGCCACGAGAAGAAATGGGACTGTGTTAACTTCTCACCTTTGCTGGAAGTTTTGGGTCATTTCATTGGAGAGGAATCCGAAGCAATATGCTGCGACTATCAGGAAGCAGTCAAGGCCTACTATGCCACACGAAAGCTTACTGAGACAATTTCCAGGACCGACCTAACAAAAATGTCCCGCGAAAATGAGCCCCTCGATTTGACCGTGCACGAGATCGAAATGAAGCTGCACCCACACAAGGTCTCTGAGAGATCTCTCTCCTACATTCACTCAGTGTGGGACTCGATGTCTAGTTTCTTTTTCAATTCCCTCCGTCAAGACGGTTGTCGATAGCATGCCGTCATCGGACGCTGAGGCTGATTGCCTCTGTGCCACTCTAACACGCAAAACTAGTGAGCCGTTAATGGGGCAGGGCAAAAAGTCTTGGAAGAAATTCATGAAGGAAAACGACATCACTGAGATTTCGTTTGATAGTGGACATGTCTTTACACTATAGTTGTTTTGAAGCTGTAAAAACTGTCAGAATGTTCTTTTATTGACTTATTGTGGGCAAACAGGATGTCTCACCAAAAAATTTTCGTTTTGCAAGCACAACATTGAAAACTTTTGTTGCTATATATGTAGAGAAGCAACGGACTACTTTAAAATGACAGGAGCATAACTTAGAGGAACCTAGAAAGGAGTAGGAATGGTGTATGCCAGTGTGCCAACCTTTACAAAGTGAATGTTTTTGGCGAGGCCTATTTTCTGTTTTGGCGCAAATGGCAATGCAAATGTGAAAGCATAATAGGTCCATGTATCTGTCTTCAATCTGTGTGCCCTTTGCTCTTGACTCTGATGGTGTATCTATCCACAAGAGGGAAAAAGGCGTACAAAACCTTGTCTTACAACGAAAAACATATTCCTCACAAATTCCCTATGCACACTTCAAATTCCTCAGCCAATTAGTCATGATGGTCTGGAATCAAAACTAACCCATTAACGAAAGTGACATAAGTACTCTGGTTATGCACGCACTGCAATCAACTATTGAGGATAGGGGGGTATCACATGTTGGACTGAAGTGTATGGTAGACCAGTATAATTGTAATACTTTTGGTGATGAATAATAATTATATAGCCTATGCAGGCTGATAAAAGTGGTAGTTGTTTTGCTGCATGAAATGAAACATACAAAACTGAGGTTTGGACTTTGCCTGCCAACCTAGCTTAAAGAGCATTGACCAGCGGACTTGCATGTTTACACTCTCTATAACACTGAAAGTACACGTCATAGGTTCAACTTAGAAATGTAAACTGGAGTGGGTATCAGGTTGAGTCCCAGTAGGAAAACATCTCTATTAAGGGAGTAGATGCAGGAATGCACATTGGCATTTTCAGGAAACACCATAAGTCGGTTGTAAAGGGAGTAACCCAGATTAAGAGAGTAGCTAGTTGTTTGCGCAAATTATATATTGTTGGGAAGAGTAGAAGAGTGCAGTAGCTGCATGGAAAGTCAATGTTAGTTTCGGGTAGTACACCCTTCCACTCACTTGCAAGCAAGAAATTTTATAAGAAAGGAGGGAATGGATGTGTGTGTGGGAAGAGGGCCGGAGAAAGATAGAAAAGTCTAGATATTGAAAATTCAGTCCACTATCATTGTTAGTTATACGGGTGTGTTGTTGTAGGTAGGGACCTTACCTGAGCTGCTGTCAGTAGTGAGAGTTGATTAGACCCCCGACCCAACATTTTGTTGCTTGTCTTGTGGTATTTAGCTATACACAACTACTACAGATGTTCTTATAGTGAAAGGAGGAAATCATATATCACACGATCACACAAAGCACAACATGTAAGAAGGTGTCCAAGTTCACTCTTTCATCCTTTTATACTCTTTCTTGGCACTCTTGATAGCAGAGCTGCTGCCGAAAGTGGCCCCAGCCCCAAGAATACTGGCCACTGCCCCAGCAGCAATAAGAGGCACACCAACCGGAGCGAGAAATCCCGACGCACTTAGAGCAGCTCCAGCTACGACACACCCCAACCCCCCAACCAGTGCCAATCCTCCACTTGTAGTACCGACCGAGGCCTGTAGAACCCTTAGAACAAACTGTCGGTTTCTCCAGGCCAGGGTTAGCAAGGCCCCTTTGCCTTCCGGTCGACAGGCATCCAGACACCCCATCCAAAAGTCAACCCTCCAATCGTTCCTAATGCCAGGGAGCTTGAGCACTCTGGCTGACCCAGTGGGGTAAATGTGTTGGAGCAAGCTGTCAACGATTGCTTCTCTAATGGAAAGCCTTTCAAAAAGCACTGCGCAAATCCTTTTCCTTGTCGTTCTTTACTCTTTGAAAGTATTCGTCTTCATCTGTGTCTGGATCAACCGGTTGTACATTGTTGGCAAACGTGAGAGCAATCACTGTATTCTCCCAAATTGTGTTTCCAAATGTCGAGGTGAGATTGTTGAGTGCCGTGGTTTCGGCCGGTCTCACAGGCTCTCCCATCTTTGTGCAGTAGATGACGAGGTGGATTTTGGGGCACTTGGCTTTGATCTGGCGCAGGTAGGCCAAGTCTCCAGCTTCACATCCGTCTTGCAGGCCTGGCGAATCGTAAATGTTGCAGGAAATGCCGCTGAACTGCAGGACATGTGGATTCACATCTTGAGTGCAAGGACTCATTGAGCCTTCCTGTGCCCGCTCTCTGTACTTTTTGCCCTTTTCAAAGAACAGGGAATTGATGAGAGTTGACTTTCCCACCTGATAGCATCCCACAATTACGACATTGAGTTCCTTGCTCCCATCGAGTTTTTGTCGAGTAGCGTCCTCCAGTGGTAAGTCACAAATACTTTCAATGCTTATTGTGCGCGCTCTTCTTAGACCGGACGATTCGAGACTTTCTGTTGCTTCTGCCATCTTAGCTTTAAAAAACTGAGCTCTGCTGCTGTGCTGATTAACTTTTATCACATAATGAACCACCTTTTTTGGCCATTTGCCTATAAGTAGAGGGTACTATGGAGAACAGGGAATTATATACTATTTTAACAAGTGATGTCATTCATTGTAACGTAAGAGTGAGAAGTGCCCGTGAGTGATTGTTCTCGTGATAGGAAAGCTTATATCTTCACCCGCATTTGCATGTATGTGAGATTTTGTGCACACCATAATTCCTACACAGACGCTCCGATGGTGTAGGATCCCTGTCATAGAACCATGAACAGATGGTATATACCAGTTATGTCATACTAGCGATGTCCCCTCACTTTCTGTTATGGTTAATTAATTTTCGTATGATGTGTGTGTGTGCGCGTGTGGGTATGTGTGTGTCCTGCACACTTTTGTCTGTGCTAATGCACGGGAACAGTCTGGCATATTATGTTAGTCATTCCACACCCTGTCCAATTTCATACCTGACAAGTCAGCAGGAATGGAGGCATTCCTGAACCGCAGACCCCGGCGTCTATACCTACACACATCGACTACAAATGCCACTCTATAGCTATGCGCAGCAAGTCAATTGCTGCACCTTACACGAAATACCACAGTCTACATGCTGAAAGCGTGATGCATTGATCACTGAACCGCGATATTTTGGACTCTCTGTCTCCGCATCATCAGATATACGTTGGAGGTGGTGAACATTTGCCCCTCATAGGCGACAATTACACAGCTATGTGTTACAGTGAATCGCAGTCGTTGTGCTAATTTCCAATGCCCACTGTATAATGAGTAGAAGAGTATGCGGTACGTAGGTTACTGCAACACTCTCACCTTAGCTTTGACATTTGAAGTTACGCAATACACAAAAAACTGACCAGATAATTGGGTAATCAGGGTTCGTTGTTGACGAATTCATGGTCGCATTAGCTCGTGGACACCACACACAATGTGGGCGCACATGACATTCTGAAACGTCAGACAGTTCTTACGTTGCGACATAATGTAGAGAGGATAAAGGTGATGCTAATCTTCCATAATCGTCAGCACGACACAACCGGCTCTGCGCAGAGTCCTTGTGAATTCATAGCCATCATTACATCGTGCACAAGTACGGTTAGTGAAGCTATGGTGATCCTCCTACACTACTCCTGTGGATGACTAACATGATCGCAAAAAAGTTCTCCCTTAAGTGCCCCAATGTTACAGTGGTTATTACATGTGTGTGTTTGCTGCAGTGTGCTACTACGTTATATGTGTGTATACTTACTCAGTGTGGAGGGATCGTGCGGTGTGAACCTATGTTGGACGCCTTCACTACAGCTTCACACAGACAGCGGTTTTCACACCTGCACACAGTTAACAATCGTATTACATATAGATATACCTAAACCATTCCACCATACACCTAGGAGGTTGTGACTGTTTTAGGATGATGTGAACCTGTGTATGTGAACGTACAGGTTACAGTGTGCCATCTGTATAATATGGTAGCATACTGTACATTGTGAACCTGTGCTATATCATTTGATGGTACTGCAATTGTGTTACACTGCCGTGAAAAGTGACAATCTTTTCAGTATGGGACAAATATTACGGTTGTCTCTAATTGCCTAGTATGTCTGTTGACACATAATAGCAGCTAGAAAATGAATAGGAGCACACACCTATGCGGTATCACTAACTACGCAAGGAGGTTTTTCACACACAACCGTGTCACGATACCAAGGAAACGATTTCACGATGCACACACATGAAGCTGCTGTCGGAGTTGTAGTGGCTAATTTCAGTCCCTACGAACAGTTTTATTACGGCACACACATGTATATACCTGGTGAACCGAAAACGGATCAATTTTCAGTTTAATATATACTCTTTCGCTGGAGATGGCCCACACCTATGGTGTATGTATTGCATGTCTTGGAGGTCGACTGACGTATGTATTACGTGTACTATCTCTGTATCCAGATGTATGTTGGGAGGTTGACTGTATTACGTGTACTATGCTCTGTATCCAGATGTATGTTGGAGGTCGACTGTATTACGTGTACTATCTCTGTATCCAGATGTATGTTGGAGGTCGACTGTATTACGTTGTACTATCGCTGTATCCCAGATGTATGTTGGAGTCGATGGTGTATGCTGACAGTGTATTCAATGGACATGGAACAACAAAGAAAGACTTCTTGAAGCAAGTACGTATGTGTATATAGGTGGACATAATCATTCTTACAACTTTCTCTTTGATTTAACAGCTGTATAATTCCTCCCCCCCTCGACTTTCAGTTGCACATTACCTCCTATTCTCTTCTTCCCCCCTCTCTTCTTTTCTACTATCTCTTGCTTCCTCTCGCCCTGCTCCTTCATCTCTCTCCCTCCTTCCTTCTATCCCTCCTTCTTTCCTTCACTTCTTCCCCCTTCCCCCAGGTTGATAAGTGTACCCAAGAAGTGTCACGAGGCCACTACATCCCAACAGACTATCGGTTCACTTCCCACGGTGGAGGCAAGCGCCCAGCCTCAACCTCATGGCCTACCCTCTCAGTGGGGTACTGAGCTTTTCTTGTGCCATTTTCCCCATTGCTCCACCTCTCTCTCCACCGTCCTCTCACTCTCTCCTCCGGCGTCAGACTGCGAGTGGAGGAGATGAAGACAACCAGGAGAGTCCTTCAATTGTGAGATTATAGAGTTGAGGAAGGAGAGAAAAGAAAGTGGAGACGAGAGGAGCGGAAATGAGAAGAGAGAGATTACAGATAAGGGATATACACCTATAGCACCTACGCAGAATGATACGTGACTTGATGCTTTGCTATCTGTGATCAGCAGAAGGCACACAAATGTTACTGGTTTGTTGTGTGCATTTGCAAGGTCCTCAATTCGACAAATCGCCACATTACGAGGGACCGTGTTAGAGTGTTCTTCCTCCTGAAATGTAGGATTTCGTTACAAACACGAGTTTCCCTACACGTCATGTGTATCG